AAGTGCAAGAGTTTATGAGTTAAGATTGAGATCAAGTGTATTCTTTGTATAAGATGACCCATAGTAAGTAAAATATTAAGACATTTCAGCAAAATCTAACTCTCAGGCGCACACAAACACTGGGACTTATAGGTAAAAGGAAATATTCAGCAAAATTAGTAGTAAAATAGACATTCTATTATAATCTACCTGATCTGACCATTCGGCACCCTGCAAACTATCTTCATCACCATCAGCCGCCATTACTGAGCCATGGTGATAACGAGCATTAGAGTGTCCTCGCTGTTGTTGACGCCCAGCATAGTGAGGGCGCCGCCGCCTTACCCACCCACCGCCACTCGACTCTCCTGTCCCATTAGCTTCGTCCTCAAGATCATCTTCGCCCGTCTGTTCATCATCGTTCATATAGTCCATCATTGCCACGCCGTCAGTATCATCAAAAGAAAACTCATTAGGATCGTGATCCTTGCCGGAACTGCAATAGGACTGCATATTCGGATGTGAGGGTAGATTGTATTTAAGCTGTTTAAATTAATAGAAAGGGAGTCAAATTAGGATATTTTTCACAATTCAATAACATTTAATAAGGTTCATCAGAGCACTGAGTTTATTGTTGCCATAACTAATTAGATTCTTAGACATCTAGTTGATGATATAGATAGCATTATCACGGATACCATGATATGAAGGCCAAGATGGTGTGTCCCTCGATATGGTGGCCGTCTCCTTTCGATGTATAGGAATAGGTTGACCTCGTTTTCGCAACTTGGTCTTGCTGTAAGGGAGACTTAGTTGAACGCACCTTATCCGAAGCCCTCTGCTATGGTAGTTATCATAATTCCCAGCAGAGGAATTCGGACAAGGTGTGTTCAACTAAGTCATCCTAACAACAAGACCAAGTGAAGAATATATGTGATGAAAAAAATTAGCCTCAATCTAGAATCTCTCCAGTCAACGGTTGCAACTGATAAAAAAATTCATAGGTTAAAAGAGATCATTTTCGCCAATGGGAATGTGGCAAGTATGTTAAAAATTAAATCAGAGCGGAGTAAAACTGCGAAAAGAATTTTCCTGAAATCGCTATCTAACTAACACTATGATGAAATCTGAATTCTATAAAAAGAATAAAAAAGCGAGCCAAAAAATCAAATAGCCAGGAAAAGATGCTAGCGTAAAATTGTCGTACACTAGCTAATATGAAAAGTAGCACACAATGCAGATTATAAAAGGTTTATTGTAATAGCTTGACTCACTTCGGCAAAAAAAGGGCCGATTGTAGTGATCTGTGCTGGGTTGTCATGTTTTAGCAAAGCTGCAGTCGGGTTTAGCTGACATCTATGATTGGAAAATATTCCAGAATTCAGTAGTTTTTGTGACCAATAGAATGAATAAGAGAGTAACTTCGATACCAATAAGAGCTTAAATAATCTCGAAAATAATAGGCCGATCAGAATCACAAAGGAATTCGCCGGATAAATTAAACGTATATTGGTGATTTGACCCCATTTTCGCAGAAAACAGCAACCAAAACAGAGGCCACAAGCTCTTGGTCTTTGTATCTACGATTAAGCTTATAATGTTCAAAAAATACACAACTTTAAATAAGAACTCTATTACCTCTAGGTTGTTTAGGGATGACACATTTTCCTGTTAAAGGGTGTTGTTGCGCAGGAGAGGTAAATCTGCCGTTCCTTCTAAATCAGAGTACTCTTTCGGGGACAAGGCTAAGTGAAATGCATAAACATTGTGAAGTCTATTCAAATTTGTGGGAAAAGTCAGCACAAGTGAGTGGTTACAATTTTTTGTCAGGCTATGCTGATTGCCTCAAAAACTAGATCATTATTGAAGTTGTTTGACCTTGTTTTCGTAACTCGGTCATATTGGTAGGAACACTTAGAAAAACGCACCTTGTCCGGAGTCCATTGTATGCATAATCATTTCCAAAGTCGAGTCGTGGACGTAGTACATTCCCAGACGTTTCGCCGGCATCGTAGTCAGCATCGTCAGTAAATTTTACCATTCGTAGCA